TATAGATTGTCTTAATTAAACTGGTTCTTTGGTCTTTCACCTCGTTAAACAACTTTCATACTCACAGTTTCTCTACAATATATATATGGATAATTACTTCAATAATGTTCCTCTTTTTCAACACCTTCAGCAAATTGGAGTTGGAGCCTGTAAAACTATCTGTAAAACAGCATCTGAGTTTCCAAAGAAACTAAAAGTAGATAAAGATATTAAATTTGACTGGAATGTTCATTTAGGTGTTGAAGTTAATAGTGTACTAGCAATTTTCTGACAAAATAATAGGCAGGTTATGATGTTGTCAACAATACATAGTCTCATGAGTGAAGAATAGGAAGTAGAACAAGAAAGATGAAGACCAAGAGAAACAAGTACCAATGCAACTAAGGTACATACTGTTTTTGGATCTGAATCAAAAAAAAATAAAAATACCAAAGGTAGTTGATGACTACAACCACCATATGAATAGTGTTGATATTGCTGACTAATTACAATCTTATTATGATACCCAACAAACTACACGATGAAATTGGATGCTACTTTTTTTTTGGCTGTTAGATACTGCTATTATTAATATGTATCTTATTACTAGAATTTCAGGATCTACACAAGGGCATAAACAATTTTATAATGAAGTTGTTTGGGATCTTATTGACTTTGTGAATGATAATAGCAAAGTTCAATTTAGAGATCATCCAGAGGAAAAAAAAACTATCAAAAGTCACAAAGAACTTTAAACTCTCAAATCATCAGTTGGCACCTAGAAATCACCTTGCAGTATGAAAAGATCATCAAGAAGCATGCTAGTAGTGTGCTTACTAGCAAGCATTGAGCAGTTAGACATGAACTGCAAAATACAAATATAAGTAAAATTTGGTGCCTGTTATATAATGTGCTACTCTGTTGCAATACTAGCTGAAATTATTTTCTTAGCTTTCATCTTGAAAATAAGGAATCATTGAATGAATAAACTATATTTTGATAGGTGGGTGAGTGGATGAACTGGTTCTATAGACCTTTGATAGGTAGGTGAACTGGTCTTATAGACCTTTGATAGGTGAGTGGGTAGGCGAACTGGTCTTATAAACCAAAACGATAAACAAAAAAATTTTGAATAAAAAAAAATTTTTTTTTTAAACTTTATTTTATTAATATGACAATTTTACTTTAATACATTACAAATATTTAATTTATGATGATACTAAAGCTGATATTCCACAAATCTTAAAATTCTGAAAACATTAAAAGTTGACTCGCAAAATATCAAAAAACTAACAACTCTAAAATTTCTATTCAATATCATCAGAATTTTGGTTTTAAATAAAAATAACACAATTTATGACCATATCTTTAATTTTAATTAAGAATGTAATGGTTGAATCTGCCTAGAAAGCCTAAAAATTTAAGTTCACATAAAATAATTTACAATTTTGAAGGTACAAATTCAAGTCACATGAAATATGCAATATTTGTTTATGCTTTACAGCATGCCTGATACTAAAATAAGGTCTCCCATCATGTAATCTGAGCTTTCATGAATTGCTTTAGTTGATTTGAGTAAAGTTTTTTATAAAAATTTTTTTGCTCACATCAAAATTTTTTTATCCAATTTTAGCGGACAAATTTGTCCGCTAAAAATGGACAGTTTAAGGGATACTCATTATAATGAGTACGTATAACGATTATAATTATTATAATCATTATAATCGTTATAATCATTATAATGATTATAATGCCGGGATTCCTTTAAAAGTCAAGGATCAGCCTACCCGAAAATTGTGCTGCGGATTGTTCAAATGACCTCAGGCGGGGTCCAGCCTGGTCACATTTCCCGGGTTACAATACTATTAAAATTTTTATTTATCTGTTCGCTTTTTGAAATATGATTGGCCGATTGATAGTACCCGATGATCAGATGATCATCATAATAACTTAACTACACTATTAAAATTTTACCTTCAAGAAAACTAATTATTGATTGATCTGTTCAATTTATAATAATCTGATTGGTCAGTTACAGATATCG